GGCTGTACACTAATCAGATACCAGCGGGTTGAAACACGTACAGACCACAAGATCAAATTGTAACCCCCAACACAAAATGACAACCCAGATGTACATACCCAAAAACCGGGGCAGCAACCTGGTTGAACTGGTGGGGAGTTTGAAAATGCACCAAAGAACATCGAAAATCGACCAGCCGGAGTCACAAACTCCCCCAAAAAGGAATCGATTGAGGGAACCCACAGTCAGCGGACTGCCGCAGCGCTTTTTAACGTCAATGCCAAATTTGGACGGCCATTTCCGACCGGTCTGAGCTATGCAGACAGGAGAAGACTCAAGGAGCTCCTGCCACCGCACTAAACAGTGATTGCTCACTGTCAGTGGTTCAGGAAGGGGCTGCTTGAATCGACTCAACGAGTCCGCAATAGTGTTCAAGTGACCAGGGACGTGAGTCAACTTGGGAAACACGTGGTAACGTCGCATGAACTTGAAATATGGAGCAAGAACTGCTGATACTGCTGGTGTCATGGAGAGACCTTTCGCTGATGCTGCGTCTGCTGCACTGTTGTCTGTACCTTGTTGGCAGGCAACAGGACCGCGACCACGAGGAAGCACGGATTCAATGCAGAATGTAAGTGCAAACTGTGCCAAAAGCTCCCATGCAGCAATGTGCTTCTGCATGTCCGATCCCACCCAGGGCCACAACGCTCTTGCCTCAGAGAGCGTGATTTGGAACTGAAACCAAACCCACACACCGTTGGGAAACATCGCGGCCCCACCGAAGCCAACCAAGGATTGAGATGCCATTGCATCGGCCGTGGCTGTGATGTTCAAAAAGGCAGCTGGGGACATGGACAGCGAAAAAGGGGTAGAAACAAGGAGTTTCTCCCATAGGCTCATGGCTTCTCTAGCCTCATCATCCAATGTACGCATGGGAGATGTGGGATCTTGAATACCTACCCAAATTCGACGAGATTTGATGTGAATTTTGACCACATCGTCCAAGGTGTGCACATTCGTATTCGCCACTCTCACCAACTTGACTTGTTGGCAGAGAGATTGATGTCTGTGAGTAAAGTCAGTTGTGAGTGTGAGTTGCGGCGAAAGTTCATCCAAGAACTGTTGGTATGTGACGTGATCCATACCCACCATGGTCGTGGGGATGTGGTGCAGAACCTTATACAGTGGGATGAGCAAAGGCCTGAGGAAATGCCATCCAGATGTGAGCCAAAGCAGGCGGCCCACAATAGACTGCATGTCTTTGAGTGGCGCTTTGGTGCAGGCCACTAATTTATGCAGCTGTTGCACAATGCGAGCAATTTTCTCCTCGGGGATTGAGATAGACCATGTTAGCACTGAGATACGCCATCCAATCCAGTCCACTTCAACGTCCAATGCTGCCTTGTGCCACGACATTGGGATACCCAAGATGAGGAACAGCACCACCAAGAGCGACGCCCACAAAGGAGATGAAATGCGATCCAGCCATGCCAGCAAGTCATCAACGTACTGCCATAATGCATGGCCATGGGCTAGGAGTGCGTGGCTTGTGCGGACCATCAAGCCGGCGACCCTGCCCCAGTACCAACCACTGGCTCGTGCCCCGAAGTTCAGTGTGATACAACGGTACAATTTTCCGTTGGCATGGAAACACAGCATGCCACCATCTTTTGGGTCGATGAGGATGCGGCGATGCGCCTTAGAAACATCCAGCGTAAGTTGGATCATCTGCTGTTTGGCCATCGAGTCAGGCGCACACACCATGACGTCAGAGATGCGAGGGAGAGTCATGTGGTTGGGAATCACAGTGTTGGGCGTCACATTGCTGATGGAGCTATCAACAACCAGCCGAGGGGATCGGCCTTCAGCAATAACCACACCAAGCTTTCCCACAGCCGTCCGCTGAAACTGTTTCTGCAATTCCGGTACCCCCCCAGGAACCAAAGCAATGAAACCTGCTGCAAGTTCTTCATTGATGAGGTCCTCCACAATGACTGGATGGTCAGCTGCGCTCTTCCACGAGTCATGCCACACCAGTAAAGGTTCCGGTTCAGAAACCACCGCATCATTAACCTGCCAAGATGGTGAGGGCTTGAGTGGTTCATTGACACCCAAAGGGACACCCTTCACAAGGTCCAATAGAAAATCAGCGTCAGGGTCAGACAAAAACTGCGCCAACGTGTGCCATAGATAAAGCCGGAACGGTTGTCCCGGAGGAATGTGAAGAAGGTGATCACCTGGAGGACAATCCAGCACTTCCAACATATCATCAATATAAGGTTGTAAGTCCGCATCCGAAAGGGGTGGATGTTTGCAACCTGATGTCAAAGAAGCCGTGATTTTGAAGCAGTGTTTGGTATCGCTCAATCTTCGAAACCAACGTGATCTCAATGCTGCCAGCTTGTCATGAGATGGTCTGAGCATGTGAGCGGCCGTGCTGGTAAGACCACCACCATCTTCGACGCGCGTTGGCAGGCGCGGCCACTTGAGTGAAGGAGGGAGCGCCGCTTGCCAATTGTCCAGGGGCAAAACCATGGAGTTTTTCGTGATATATGGGGCAATGATTGATGCCAAGGCGTGAGCCAAATCTGGCGGATATTCAGCCGTGAGGCGGCTGAGAAATGTCCCATCAGTCATGCGGACACCAGCGATCTGTTGATGCACATTCGCACCATGAGGGCAAGATTTTGCCACTGCAAAAATGTCAGGTCTGTTGGCTACAAACATCCAAGCTTTCGCCCAGTCTTTGCCAAACTGGCAAGCGGAAGCTTGGGCTGCAAACGGGGCTACAGCGTGGACCCATTGAGCCATAAGAGGGTCATCCCATGTCATCGATGTGGCTGGGTTTTCCAAAATGGCCAGCCCCCCCTTTTTGTCAACTTCTGACAATAAAATGCGCGATCTGTCGTGGATGGCCGCACTTTCTTCAACCGCCAGTTGCTGCAACGTAGAGTTGGATGGAAGGCCATCAATAAACTCAGGTGTTCTGACAGGGGCAGGGCCTGGAGGGCGTAGGGTAGCCCGGCTGTGCTTGCTGCAATATGGTGCAGCCAGTGCTGCCCCAATCAGTCCTGAAGCTGCCAAAATGAGCACTGATTCGAAAATGCCGTCATCCAGCAAATCATGGCCATGAATTAGGTCCACCGGTTGGACACGATCACATGCAAATGGGACAAGTGCCATACTCACTGGCATGGTTGCCCCCGCAAAAATGTCAAGAAAAAACCTGGAAGCAGAACATGATGAAAGTTGTTCGAAACTGCCAGAAAACTGGGAAAGGCCACGGGAGACTTCTACCTTCGATGCTGTATCAACAGAAACGGGTTGCTCCAGTAGCTCGGCCAGGTCCTGCAACTGTTGTGGAGGAACTGAATTATCACTTTCCTGCTGCGATGGTCAGTGTGGTGCCGACTTGTGTCGGGCTGCTGTATGAAAACCTCCACACGGTTCACCATTGGCCTTAGGGACTGGGCATTGATGAGCAAAGCGACAGGTCTTGCCAGACTTGCACTTGTTCAAGTTGAAGCGCATGCAGATCCCTTTTCCGTCAGGCAGTTTACGAAGCCATGAGTTGTCCCATTTCAAATCTTTGGTGTCTGGCTTCGGATGTTTGGGGGAGTCATTGCCAGGGCTTGCAGTTTTGGGCTTCTTGGGAAGCGGCTTCGGAAGGTCAGGTCTGCGCTTGGGCGGTTCCTGTTTCGGTTGTTGTACCGGACGAGGACGAGGTGCCAAGGAGGTATGAAAAACCTGCCTGCAGAAGGCCACTTCGTTTAGGACATCATTGAGTGTCCACTTCGACTCATAGAGCAGGTCCGTGACAGCAGACCATGCAACCCTGTCAGCATCCAGAATCTCCGACAATGATGGAGCACGAAGGTGCTGATCCCTTGGTTTCGCCAGTGCCAGTTCAAGAAACTTCGCATGGAAACGCTTGAGCACCAGGAGATGCGCGGAGCCAAGCATAGCCAAGGCCACAGATAAGAGGTTTTGGAACTTGGCCAAAACAACTTCTGTGGGAGCTTGGTGATTGATGACTGCCTCAGGTTGTTCATTGAGAACTGAATCACCTTCGGTGAGCAATGAGCGAAGTAGTTGGCGATCATTCCTGGGTCTGCGGTGTTCAGCAAACGCTTGTTCGTCTGCTTCTGATGTCCTGCTTTTCCATGGAATCCAGGTGAAGTTGTTGGTGTCAATCGCGTCCTTGAGGAGGCACAAAAAGGACAACGACGGCATAGTCCCGGGCAGCAACAACTCACCTGGGTAGTTCTGGCAAAACTCTGTTTTGAGTGCTTTGACATCCGCCACAGACAAGCGTGTCTTAGTGGACGGTGCTGTAGGGGCATCAATGGGAGCATCACGGCCCGACAGCACACACTTCGCAATGCACTCCTTGATGACCCTTCTGATCGCCGCTGACTGCGGAGAGAATGTCTGAAAAGTCTCTCCATCCGGAATCACACTCAAATGTTCAACGAACTCCTCCATCTTGGATTCATCGTGAATACCATGGGCCAAGAGTGCAATCGTTGTGTAGCCAGCATTGAAAATGTGTTCAATCTGAATCGATGACATGTGGCAATCAGCCATCAGCGATCTGAATGACACTGGGTCGTCTAAGGCCATAGATTGTGAAGCCATGTCTGAACACCCCACCGACACTTGGGCGACAGAAAGCAAGCTAGGAAAATGCGAAGTCGAACAGGCTAATGAAAACAAATGGGAGCAAAAATTGATGAAACAAAAGGCAGTGGAACATGGCATAAACTTGGTAGACCAAGAATAATCCAGCATGGATCATGAGCCTGAACCAACAACCAATAAATTGAAACATGAAGCCAGGCGTGGCTAGGCCCCAATCATGAGCCAAACTGACCGCGAGTCAACATGCCAGGTGAAAGCAGGCAACATGGACATGAGTAGCCAGGCGTGGCAAGATCCATGCACAAGAAATCACCAAAGGGCATGATGGGTCAGACTAAGCAGTATCGCACCTTTTGATCCAAGGCAGATGAATGCACGAGTCACTCTTGCGGGGCAGGCTGGCCAAGACTAGGTAGCTCCTCCATCAGTCGGTCAGCGGCCTGACCTCCAGCTCCAAGACGCACAGCTGTGATCAAATCGAAAAGCATCGATCGAAGGTGACGAAAAACCAAGTGATCATCTGGGGTCAAAAGTGGGGAGCTAGATAGTCCCCACTCAGTGACCACTGCGAGGGCTCCGGAGAGCTGGAAAACCAAAAGATGCGCCTGCTCAACTGGCAAAGATAAAGTGAAGGTGATGGCTGAACAGGGATGCGTCCTGTCAGGGATCCATCCAGATGGAGCTAGGTCTACTTGGGCCTCTTCCTGAGTGATCAACACTTTTGCAGCCAGTGAGCAGAGGACTGAAATGAGCGTCCAATGAAACCTGGATGCCAGGTGCCTCGCGACCGCCGCACATCCCGCCAGGCAAACTTCAAGGTGTGCCCTGTGGTGATCATCTGAAGCCCACTCCCTGACAAAGGGAAGTGCAGAGTCCACCATAGCCTCTAACTTAGCGAAGTCAGTCATAGGTGGCAAGTGGCACCTTGAGGCAAAAATGGCTGGCAGGATACAGCGTATAAAAATAAAACTAGGCAATGATTTGAGAGATGTACTGAGCGCATGAACAATGCAAGGACACCAAAGGGAAAGTTGGTATCGACAAAGTCACAAGTGCTCGCAGCCGGATGCACCAGGTTCGTGACTGCATTGTTTGGACACGCCAGTTTCCGGGCTCAGTCAAACATCTTGGAGCAGGCTGGTCTCATACACAACCTAAATTTGTCTGGGAGTGTTTCAGCTGGAATGATCTCAGCGTCCCAGGCTGCACGACGGACATTGCAAGCGAACTTGAAAGATTTTCGCACTTCCCCAGCGTCCACTGTCACCACCCTGTAGGGATCAGATTCATCACATACGGCGGCCACGTGGGCAATGGATGAAGTTGCATTCAAAAGAAAAAGACAATCAGCAGAGGCCGCATGAATCACTGGGACCTCCATGTCATCCTGAACCTCAGGCGCCGCCCCAGCATCTGACTCACCAGAATCAGTGTCGACCAAGTCCTCAGAATGGGGGAGACACAATTGTGTCTGAGCCTGAGGTGTGATTTCTTCTGAAGGTGGAGCCACAGATACTGGTTTGTCCAGGACAGGTTTTGCTCCACCACGAAGAAGTGGAATCACTGGCCTAAAACCTGAAGCAATGCGCTGAATGATCTGGTACTGTAACTGTATGGCTGGATGCACGTCATCTCGGCCGTACAATGCCACATTGGATCGAGCGCCTGACTGGCGACGATGGCCCTGCGCCATTCTGGCTTCCTCTGACGCTCCAATTTGTCGTGCCCAACTAAGTAAAGTTACCTTCGGGGAGTGCACGCCGATGCTCAAGACTGACACGTCTTTGTTGGCCTGTAAGAGAAGTCGTCTCAACAGCAAGACTCCTTGTGTCCGAGGCATGGGTGCCGTGAACATGGGGTTATCCACATTCGGCCCACACATGGGCAGCAAGAAATCTGGAGTGAAATCCGGAAATACTTCTGCTGTCCGTTGCAGTGCTTGACGCACCAAGTTGAGCCACTTCATAGACCAGGTGACCTGTGAAGATGTGGCCAAGAGCCCTGACTTGACGAACGCAAACGGCATTCCGCGTGACGTCGTCTTTGTACGGACTGCGATGCCTCGGATGACATCGACGTCCTCTGTGAGTGCACTTGGAGTAACCCAAAGTGCGTCGCTCCACCGCAGAGATGACCAGATCAAAACAAGCAGTGAGCCCATCACTAACCTATCTGCAGCTGTGCCCAGCTCCTTAAGAATGCAGGACTCCAAGTACACCACAAAGCTCAACGGCAGTGGGGCGGCTTCTTTCCTGACGGAGATTTCTGAGGGGATTGTGTAAGCCCGAGTAATCGGCGCCTGTAAAGCCCCCAAGAGTGCCGGGAACCCTGCATACTTTGAAACCCACGTGAGAGCTCTCGATTGTGCCGTGGCAACACCAAGTGAACTCCTCTTAGAGGAAACCTGGAGAAAATCTGCAAGAAAAACTGTCGGCGGGCTGTAAGGACATACCTGATGGCAATGACAAAACTCAACCCACTGTGACCAGCCCTTGAAATATGCCGCTAAAGTAGACGGTGCAAACTTCGCAACAACCTTGATCACGTGAGCTTCTTGGTTGGGGCTGTCCTGCGTGGACTTGATGAGCTCGCTGTTGGAACCAGCCTGTTTCAGAAGCTGAAGCCAATCCATGTGATGTTGGGTTTTCAGCTGCTGATGTAAGGCATGCATTGTAGTGGAATCTGCAATCGAAGCTTTCACAACATTTGAAGGCACATCAAGGATACCAGACAGGAACGTTGAAACACTGTTTGGCTGCATTTGAACGATAGATGCACTTCCTGCTGACACAGGGCGATCATGATTGAGCTGACACTGGTAAGACCGCGCATGGACACTCAATGTCGATGGTGGAACATACTGCAGACCAGGAGGATGTGCATCCCACTCCACTTCCCGACGATGTCTCAGTGGAGGTGGCTGCAGGCCACCCATGTGGAGGGGTCCATTGCTATATGGTTTGTAATGTGCACCAAGTCCTTGACCATCCCACCTGTTCAAAACAGACTTGTAAGATGTCGCCGAAGCTTTTGGAGATGGGTCAACATAGCTCTGAGCCGGTTCACGTCTCCACCGTTTGACTCTAAACAAGGGTTCAGACGAAGCAGGTCTATCAGGCTGGAAAATGGAAATGCCTCTGCCACCACCTGACCCAGGCAAGATAGTCTGGTCACCCAGTAGCTCCAAAGGGGGATCCATGACTACAAGACCGGCGGGTCAAAAACGGTTTGAAACAGAAATGCCAGCAAATCTAAGAAATGAAAAATGTGACACCTGAGTGCAAGCAGAGGCCATGCAAGTCGGCTATCAGCGGATAGACAATGGAACAAAAACCGGTCCACACAGCCTTTTGCCAAGCACAGGTAGTGAAATGTGAGCAGAACTGTTGTCTGCCGAAAATGATCTGGGACAAAAAATTGACCAGGCGTGGTCCAGATGGGCACAATGTCAAAACCGTCGCCATGTCCAAGGACTGTCATCAATCTTCATCTGCTTGTGGTGCAATCCAGGATTGGGGTGTCGATGGGTGAAGACGGTCAGCAAGTTCAGGATTGACCTCCATCCAGTCTTTTAAGATGGTTGCAAGATTGTGGGATAACAATTCTTGGCATCGCCTCATCTTCACGACCTCAGCATGGAGGGAGTCAACTTCAGACTGGACTTGGTAGAGGGCATCAGCTAGATCGGCAAATGCCATTGGCTTCACCCTAACGTCCACTTTGGCAACACGTCCATCTCCGTGGCATTGGACTATGTGATCGGGGAAGGCACGAATCATATGGGTATAGACTTGTGCGTACAGGCCCTCAGGCAGGAAGACGATGTACTCGTAATTCTCATCAAAGGCCGATTCCCAGTCTGGCTTATACTTACGCCACTGCGATGGGGTCACGTCCACCTCAAGGTCACGAGGAACTTGAAGAGGAAAAAGTGTCCTCCCAGGGTCCAACACCAAAGATTCCAGGGCAAAGAACCGGAAGAGTCGCTCAATGGGAACCACCGAATCTGAGCCGAAGGAAATCTGAAAAGTGAATTGGGCTGGGGGATACGACAACTGCAGCCCCTGCATCGCAGTCAGTACGGACTGGAACGAATGCCCCGTTTGAGCCCACTGCCAACTGCGAAATGACCCATAAAGAAAATGGACAGAGATGGAAGTGAACGGCTCATTGCAATAATATGGACTTGAAAATTTGAAATGAAGTACGCAAAAGGGCACACTTTTTTCCTCCGACATGCGATGTCAGATATTGGCAGCCACTGCTAGGTGTGAGCTGAGACTGTAAAAACCCAATGCAAAGTGACACGGGCGCAGTCACAAATAAATAGACAATTGATGTCTAAATGACAGCGGCGGCATCATTCATGAGCAAAAGGGTCATTGCTGCAGCTCACCATCAGTTAAGGCCAGGGTCCCCAAGTCCCGGGGGATCAGAAGATGCTGCACCACCAAGCGTCGATGGATTAGCCAATGTATCCTCCAAAGCACGGGCTAAGTAAGCTCTGGTCATCAGCCAAGACCCACGGGCATACTCAGCTGAATGGTGAGGGACTGATCGCGAAGCTTCCAGCCTCTGATGAATTTGCAAAGCCAAGTGGTCAAGGGCATGCATCTCATTAGACGTCAGCCGATGGGTGGAAACAGACCTTGCGAGGTCCAATACCGATCCATCGTGATGAGAACTGCCTGTACCTTGCCCTGAGTCTGCATCATCTGCGTCCATTGTCTCCTCAATGACAGCTGAAGAACCGAAATCAGGTGGGGCTGTAACTGCTTCGGAAGGACTGGCTGGTGAATAGAGGGCAAAATGAATACCATGAACTCTGCAGCGATGGTGCCCACCATGCTCCAACATTTGTGACACCTGATACAATGAGAAACCAGGTGGAAATGTCACAGAGCAAGATTCAACCACAGATGGAGGCAAAGATCCTGGAACAAGGTATTCCAAGGACAACCTCCAATCTGAGCTGTCAAACATGGCATCCCTCAGACCACGCAATGGGGTACGGTGGGACATAGCTGGAAGAACCAGATCGGGTTATTCGAGCCGAAAGCTGCCATGCGGGCAAGATAAACGATGGCACAGCGGTGCATCAGGAAAATGAAAAGAATGAAAACGTGAGTGGAAGGCAGCGGCCACCAAAAACAGCACATGCACTTTTGAACTGCCAAGATGAAGGTCCAAGTAAATATCCAAAGAAGCCAGCCACCCGGAACGAAACAGTACAGGGCTGGCGGGTGCTTCAAATACCAAGATGGAAACGGATCTGTGCAATAGCTGCCTCAGCGTCACCCAGACGTCGTTCCAAAGTGATGATCCTGTCAGCTGACTGGGCCGCGAGCTCCATGAGTTGCATCAGTGGCATCTGGTGCACAATCAAGATGGTCTCCATGCGGAGTTCAAAGGGGACACCTGCAGGTACCATAGAAAGATGATTGTCTGTTGCAGTAGCCACAGCAGCCATGGATTCGTACACCTCGAGGTCAGCGACATAGAAGTGGTACTGGGATGTAGAGACAATGTCGTCGTCCCAGGGTACCCAGTGAAGGGGGAGGTCGATGATGTCAGGGTCACCTCCGAAGCCAATCGGCCAAGCAGTGGGGTAGATGATCTCATTAATGCTGCAGTCCAATTGATCCAGGTTGAATGGGGCCATGATAGAGTTGATGATCGACTGCTGGAAAGGTGCACCATGTTGGAACTCCAACGTAAAACGGATCTCCTGAGGAAGAACACGACGAGGAGCGTTCATGGCGATCACAGTGATGACAACCACCAGAAAAAGGAAGCCGAGGCAAACGCCACACCTAGTGCAAAACCAGAACAGAAGGCACCAAAAGACCACTTGGGCAGATGCACCGGTGGTGGATGAAGAACCACAGGACGATGCAATGCAGCCTGCCCCTTGTCCAAACAACGCCTGGACTGGACAGCCATGAAGAAATACGATATGCAAGCTTGAAGCAAAACGGCAACGGACCAAAGAAGTTCCGGGTCCTACCTGTGAACAACTATGTACAAGTACAAACCACAAAACCCTGAAGAATCCCACATGAATCAACATGAATCAACATGAATCAACATGAATCAACATAAATCAACATGAATGATGATCTATTGATGGTATAGATTCCAAACCATTTTTTTCACAAAGAGTTGTTTTACACAAAAACCATGTCCTTGCTGGGCCTGCTCACCTGATGGATGCAAGTAACGGATGAAATAACACAAACAACTTGGGAAGTGTAGTTGCGATATGGGTTGTGATGACTGCGCCTGTAGTTGAATGATCAAACATGATCAAACATTGAAAAGTGGTTTCGCTGACTGATGAGCACTGACGAACAAGAAAACCAGATTCATGCCGAAATGTCAAGACCATGCCCTGAGTGCTGCACAAACACACTGCCAAATGTTGTGTCTCATTTTTTTGCCAATATTTTTCTACCCATGGTTTTCTTTCCACTAAGTAAACTCGGCCTTACTAAGAGTCAGCCACTTTTCACTTTAAGATGGCACATAGGAATCCGTTTTGGTCAAACGGAACCTTAAATTTTCGGAAACCCGTGATTCATCCAACATGATGAATGATGATCTAGTGACAGCAAAAATATCACCAACATAGCTGAACTTCATCAATTCCGCGGAAAAAGGGGGTCCAGGAGGTCCAAAAACATTACATCTTTCTTGGGCAGCCTTAAATTTAGACTGAAAATCAAGGTTTTAATTACAGTAGTTGTTCGTTGGTTTCATGTTCATTTATATGTTTTACCTATCATTTTTTCAATGCTAAAATGGATTTTCATTTGGATTTTCATTGGGATTTTCATGTGGTTTCATGGCATGCATTTTGTTCATTAGCAATGGTTGCTTCGTTCCTCACTCAAATTGTTTTGGAAAAATGATGTGGCATTTTTTTGTAAAAGAAACCATTTGAATGTAACTGTAAACACAAACGGGAAACAAACATAAGACAACATAACTCGACGCTAGGACGCAATGAACAGGAAACACAAATCAAAAAAATAAACTGAAAAATGAAAATGTTTGACAGCATGAACATACAAAATAGATGAGAAAACAAAAGCAATGAAACGGTTGACAAAAAAATTGAAAATGGTTGACAACGTGTTATCCTCTTTGAAAATGGTGGCTGCAGGGCATGGCATGGATTGCAAGACGACAATGGATGAAGTGCAGCTGAACTGTGACAACATGCAATTTGAGGTGAATCGCAGAGCTTGCACTTTTTGACGATGGGTATTGATGCTGGGGCCTGGTGTTTTCCCCACTTTTCTTTCAGCCTCAGCATCTCACCCCAGCAAAAATCAACATCCAACAACATTTCAACTGCTCCGAATTCACTTTCATAAATCGCAGTTTTCTTTTTCAGTGGGTTGAGCAGAGCCACATGTTTCTCACTCAACTGTTGTGAAAAATACTTGACTGCTCTACCTGCGGGGTTGAACAGCACAGCGCCCACACCAAAGAAAACTGAAGCATCACCAGGCTCGTGGCAGGCATCAGTTTGTATGAACCAAACTTCATTGCATGTGGTTTCAGTTCTCTCGGCCTTCCAGTCTCTAACGGGTGAGTGGATGTCACTCACATGTCAAGAGTCCAAAC